TGAAGATTTCAGATTTTATAAAATTTATTTTATATTTATTTAAAAAATATAAAATTTTAATAAATTTACTTTATTATCAATTTAAAAAATATGTATTTAATTTTAATAATCTAATTTAATATTAATTTTTTTAAAATTTTATAAATTAATTAGTTAGATATACATCTACATAATTAATTTATAAAAAATTAATATTAAATTAAATCATTTAAATTAAATTTATGTTGTCCAATGTAAATTTATTAAAATTTTGGATTTTATAATTTAATAAATATATATTAAAATATGAAAATAAAATTAATAAATCTAGATCATTTAGATTTTTTAAATTGCTCATCAGGTGATGGGCACCAAAATCCAGCGCTATGAATGTATGGGGCCATCTAAGTAAATTAATGTTGTTTAAGTCTTTTTTAACACGGCAAAATTGTACATTTCAAAAAATGTGAAGGCAACAATATGGCTTTAAAATGTTAGAATATTAATTATGTCTGTCTTAAAAAGAGCTGAGATAAATTTGCACTTTATCCCTAAATAATAAGATGACATATATGCAGCTATTTGACAACTTCATTTGACTCTGATATTCTTACAATTGAGAAGAAAGAACAAACATTTTATTCGTAAGTTATTATTGACATCTTTTATTCGTGTGTGTGTGTAATTTAATTTTGTATTTTGCTATAATTTTTCAGTTGATTATACAGATATAAATTTTTTTTTACCAATAATTAGATAGATATAATGAATAATGTGTACACACCCTCGTGCACATGGGGCGGCAGTGCAACTTATGGTTGAGGAAGGCATATGCACCCCTCACCTTGGAAAAAAATAGCAAGCATAGAGTATAAGTTTTGATATTTTATAATTTTTACCATTCTTTTTAATACTTTGCACTTGCTTCTTTTAATATTTTAAATTTAAAATTTATTTTAATCTTATTTTTTATAGTCTAGATCTAAAGTTTAATTTTTTAACTCAAAGCTCAATGAATATTAATCTATAATTTTATTACATATAAATATAAATATTATTTATTAATCCTTTAAAAAAATAAAAAAAGTTAATTTGACTAAATCAAAGCCATGTCATCCTCATCCCAAATGCTAGTTAGAGATTAATAAGAAAAAGGATAATGAAAAATGAAGATTCAAGGCTTAAAGTTAACTTATTAAATGTCTTTTTTGCTAGTTGACTGTACTTGTAAAAAGTAAAGAATAATTAAAAAGAGAGAGAAATAATGTATTTGGAAAAGACCAAAAAAAAAAAAAAATTCTTGTGCTAAGAATCTTAACTCTACCATTACTTCCTAAACTAGGATCTTAGCTTTGCTACTGTTCATGCATATATCAATTTCAACTATATATATTTGATGCAAATATATATGTGAACCCCAATTTGATACGCTTTGTTATTAATCACTAGGTCCGTGTCTAGAAATTTTGAAGCCTTAGGCAGAATGATTAGAGGGGCTTAATATCATGTCATACATAAATTCTCATATTATTTTTTTTATCTTTCTTACGTTTAAAAATTTATTTATCAAGGTTTTATAATAAAACAATTCTAACTTTTTATTCTTTATAAGTAATACACTTACTCCTTTTGTTTAATGTTATATAATATTTTTAATTGAATCACACCTCCAAAAAATTATTTAACTGTCTTTAAAATTATATACCATTTTTATATTTATCTCTATTTAATAAGGTGTCTTAGTTAAAACAACTTTATTGATTACACCATTAATTATGGATTTTTTTGTTTTGGAAAAATCATATTAACTATAATTGAAACCCAAAATGCCTTACATATATTTTTGAACATCTTATAAATCTAAAACAAAATCTCTTATATTTTTAAATGAAAGGAATAATCCTCTCAATTTATCTTTGCAATGTAGCTGATCTTTGGTAGAATTTAGAAAATTTTAAAATTAAAAACTTGTTTCAGTACTAGCAATTGTCATGGATACCACTAATAATATTCACTGCCAAAAAAGGTCTTCAAATAAATGTGTGATCTAATAACTTATTTTTATAAAAAAATTATTTTCTATATATTATATAATTTTTTCCAAGTATATGCTCTATATATTCGCAGTGTTTTAAAGAAAGGAATGGCCAAAAAAAAAAAATGGAGGAAGGAGAAGGAACCAACCTATTGGCTGCACAGCTAAAAATCCAATTGGCGTTTTAAGAACGCTTGGAACTGAGAAGTCCAACAAGTTTCATCGCCAAACTAATTCGAATTAGTTCATATATTATGCTGATAAATTTCTTTCCAGACACCTGAGAGAAACAAGCATATCTGTATTCAACACATGAGTTGTGATATTAATATGACATACACATTGTATTTATTTGTAAGTTACGTTATCATTGACTCACTTTATTCGCGATATAGTTTGGTTTTGCATTTATTCTTAATTTTTTTAGTTGAATATAGATATGAGGAATGACGTCTGTACATACATGCACGCTTGTGCGTATATATCTATATTTTCAAATATTTATCAAGCTAGTGAATCCAAAACTGATACAGTAATACTCATTGTTGTTACTAATTAAGCTATCAAAACTGTGTCTGGAAATTTAATTTGAAGCCTTGGGCAGAATGATTGGAGATAGTGACGAATCTAGAAACTAATCCATGGGGACAAAAACGAAAACTACTTGAAACATAAGGGTTTAACACTAATTTTTATATTTTTACAAGCAAAATAAAAAATTCCCAAAACTTTCCAAAGGACCAATCAAATTGTGGAAGCAAGCACTCCCTTCCCCTTGCGTGTATACGCCCTTGATTGGATTGAGTTTAACATAACGGGTTTACATAATTGTGAATTAAGTTTTGAATTCTTAGTTAAAAATATACTCACATTTAATATTTAATTATATCTCGAACAATATTATTTTAAACAAGAGGATACTTGCAAGCAATTTTATAAAACAAAAAGAATGATTGGATATAATATAATGTAATTAATAAATTCTTATATTATTTTTCAATCTCTCTTGATTGGAAAATTTATTTATCAAGGTTTTATAATAAAATAATTCTAATATTTAACTCTTACAAAGTGCATGTTTGATTTTACATTTTAAAGAATTCATTTGCAATAAGCAACTATTTATTGAATTTGACAAAAGTATAATCCAACTATAATTTGAATAGATTTTTTTTTTTTTGAGGGAAACCTGAACAAGCCCTAAATAATATACTCAATCAATTCTATTTATCTCGTGATATACTTTCTTCTACCCAAAATATGAGTATATTCCTTCAATCAATTTTAGTTTAAAATATAAGCAATTTAATATATTTATTTTTTTTTCATTTTACCCTTTGTTTTTATCAACTAAAATAGTTGTGTAAATGTATTTCTCACTTATTAATAATGAGTCATTATAGAGTACATTAGTAATTAGAATTAAAGATACAATAAAAAAATAATATATATTTTTATGATAATAAGAACTTTATTGTTATATATATATTTTTTTAAAATTGATTATATTTTGAACGGGAGACAGTAGTTGATAGCTGATTTCTCTAATGCCATCTTGAATATGCATTAATTAACATCAAACTCAATGTATTGTTATCCTCTTTTTTTTTTTTTTTTTTTTTGCCTTTTTATTTGGGGCTTATGCCGTCCCTCAAGAGAAACTGTTATATTTGGCTTCGTGCCTCCTCTTTGGCCACCGACATCAAACTCAGTGATATGAACGTAGCCAATATAATGAAAAATATTTGGAGTGCAATTCCTAATTACATGAATTGGGTTCAATGCATGGAATAGTTCAATTGATATTTATCATTTCCCTCCCGAATATTCATTCATTCATTAATAATATATATTTAATAAATAATATCATTAATGCCGTACATTTGGGTCATTTAACCAATTAAACTGTTCATTTCAAATGAAACAATGAACTTTGAGCATAAAAACAAGCTTTATTCTATTAGATGGAGTTAGTTACATAAATTGTATGATCTCATTGTGCTCTATTATCAACTAAGCTTTTATAAATATTGTTAATGTTAATTAAAAAAATCTCATTCAATAATTTTTATAAATATTTTTTTAGTCTTCCTCTATCCCTATTTAATGGCTCAATATTATTTATTTTATTTTTTTTATTAGTGCCACAATATTCTCTAAATATATTCAAACTATCTCATACAATTTTCTGTCATTTTCCATTCAATGACCTGCTGGTAAAAGTAAAAAAAAAAAAACAGAGAGAGAGAGAGAATTAATGAAGGCAATGAATAAAACTTCTTCAGGAAGCATCCATTATAACTGTATTTCATTCTCTATGATTTGCAAAATACTAATAACATTTGAGAGGATTTTTTTTAAGGGAATAAACACTAAATTTAAAACAAATCGGCATTAGATTCGCTGAGTAATGAACTTTTAATATAATGATGCGCACATTCCATCAAATCAAAGAAAAATTGGTTGAACAATAAATTTCTGAAATTTAGTTTTTACCCAATTTAGTGTTTGCACGTGAGTCACGAATATTTAATCTCACCTAAGATTATTTATTAAACATGGTTTGTAAATAATACATGTTATGTTAATGTTATGTTAGCACTCTTAATCAAAAACAATGTCGATGATATAGATAGATTCTCTTAAAATATTTGTTTTTAACGCATTAATTAAATAATGTTATCAGTTTGATTTAATTAAAAGACCATCAACCTTTTTTTCGGTGATCCACATCGACCTTTTTTTTTTTGTTTAAATCAATATAAAGCATCACCATTTAAATTATTAAATTAAGTGAAGAAATCAACATTTTTCAGTTGAGTTGCGAAGAACTTTTCCTATTTATGTGATCAAATCTCACTATATTAATTTTAAAATTTTATTAGTGAATAATTGGTAAATAGCGGAAATCTTTACACAGGATCCAATTTATCCTTTTTTTAAAAAGATTTAAGGAACAAGAAATGAAGCAGGGTGCAAGCAGACGCATACGTAAATATATAAGAGGAGACTTGGAGGAGGGAGGCATAAAGGCCGTGACAGAAGAGACTGGGAGGTTACGTCGACGACAATGGACCTCCTGGTGGAGTCTACCTCCAGCGCTCATTTCTCTGGTCGTTCCATGACGACGTCGTCTTCTTCCTTGTTGTCTCTCACTAATGACTGTCTCAGTGGCCCTCCGCAGCCATTTGTGATCGGTATATTTATAAGCACTGATCTCATTCCAATCTTCTGCTTCTCACAATTTTCGGTGCTCTCAATGACTCTAGATCTTGTGCAGTCATTTGGTTTTCCTGGAAAATACAAGAACAAAACAAATGCGTTAAACTGATTTTCTAGCTTGAATGAGAAGTTTTAATTTGCTCTGCTTTCTCGGTTAAAAAAAAGAAAAAGGATAAACGTACTGAAACACAAAGGTCTCGCTTCGGCTACCTTGTATGCTTGTTTCGCACGTCTCTGTTTCTCTATCATCTTCATTACTTCTCTGCGTTTTTCCCCTTCGACTAGTTTGAGTGTACGAAGAGTGCTGATTCAAACTTTTACTTACTCCGGCTTTCCAACACTTTCTTTTGGTGACATCACGCATCTTAAGTGACAAACTCAATGATATGCGTGATCTAAGATCCATGTGCGCCTTGATTCCGATCTAGCAATTGGACAGGGGTCTCTGGAGGTACGGCATCAGGCAAGACATCTGTGTGTGATATGATCATTCAACAACTGCAAGATCACAGAGTGTTGGTAGTCTGTCAGGTTAGTCATTCCGAAATTCTAGAATGTTCTCTAGTAAAATTTGGTCCAGCCATTTTTTGCAAATATAATTACTGGATTCCTATTGCTGAGTTATAACTAAATGATGAATGAGATGATCTAATTTCTTATTCGCTTCTTAGTGGTGTCTTGCTTGATCGCAAAGACTAAAATCATACTTTTAGCTTTGTAATTAATTATACGTTGTTTTCGTAGGACTCTTTCTACCGTGGTTTAGCAGATGAAGAATTGAAACGCGTGCACGAATATAATTTTGATCATCCTGTTATATAGATCTTGAATTTTGTTTCGGCATGGCATGGTTCTGAAATCAATTCTGGTAATATACACCTTATGTTCTGGATTATGTAGACGCCTTTGATACTGAGGAACTTGTAGATTGTATCAGCAAGCTCAAATCTGGACAGTCTGTTCGTGTTCCAGTTTATGATTTTAAGACACATCAGCAGTCGTCTGACAAATATACGCTGGTAGTATTCTCACATTTTAAACTAAATTTGGCTGACTGTCAATTATTATCAGACATGTTGCCAAACAATTGACGTACTTGTGTATTTATCCCAAAAAAAAAAACATCAAATCATACTTCCTTCAAGAGAATAACTGAGTGTTTGGGTCACTGTATGTTCTAAAACTACAATGAATAGAGGTGCTATTCTCTTAAAAAGTCTAACTAAAACGCAGGCAGAAGCCTGAATTATTTTCCCTTTTTTTGGGCTCACTTTTTGGCAGGTCAATGCATCCGAGGTAACCATTTTGGAGGGCATATTGGTTTTTCATGAACAACGTGTCCGCGACATGATGAATTTGAAAATCTTTGTTGATACAGGTCTTCATTTCTGCCATCTTAATATGGTTTCGTGCTATTCTATCGTCAATCATATGTTAAATAAATCGAAGTACACTAAAGTTTTCTGTATTGCGGGAAAGATAGTTTAGAGACAAGGAAAATGCACTAAAGGTCCAGCATATATAACACTTGCCCCTTGCTCTGTCTTCTCCTTATTAGGTTGTAATCCATGTAGTACAACTATTCATTAAGGCTTAATAGAAAAAGTTGCTCTTGTGTAGCGACTTCTGAGCTCTGTGCAAATTTATAATCCTTCTATCTGCAAGACATTACAGCCTAATTCCACAACCTTGCGGGTTCTCTTATATTTAAACCTCTGCTTTATATGTCAAGGCCCTCATAGGAAGAAGGATTTTTTGAAATTAGATTCATTATCTGCTTTGGTACAAAGGTGGGAAGTCCAAGAGGAGGAAGAAAATCCCAAGATAGGATCAATTCAACTCCTCAATACTTTTAAAACCCAACCTTCAAAAGGCAATAGGTTGGTACATGTGAAGGCTAAGTTAAATGGGAAGCTAGTTAGCATCATGATAGATATTGGGGTAGACCACAACTTCATTTCTCCAGAAGAGGTTAAAAAGGTAAGTCTTAAAGTTGAAAAAGGGGGAGGTTTATTGAAAGTTTCCAATTCTCCTCCTCAACCTTTAGTTGGCATTGCTTGAGGGGTTGAGCTATATCTTGGGGATTGGCATGGAAAGATAGATTTCTCAGTTGCTCGTGTGGACGACAATAAGGTGGTGCTTGGTTTGGAGTTCATGCAAACGGTAAAAGCTTTTATCATACCATATCATAATATATTATGCATCCTCGAGGGAGGAGTTGCTTGCATGGTACCCACTTCATAGGGTAGATTTTCATGATTATCAACCATACAAGTACTAAAGGAGGATAGTATGTCAAGAAGGCCAAAAATGATCTCATCTCATGGAGAGATGAATCATAAGAAAGCCAACAAGAAGAAGGATCCTTGTAAGAGGAATCCCAAGTGCATGAATCAAGTCAGTGACGAGGGCGTCATTAGTTTAGGTGAGGGAGAATGTCACTACCTATGTTCAAATATAAGACAACCCGCAAGGTTGTAGAATTTTTGAAGACCTCCAGGATAACAAAGAGAATTCCAAAGTTTTCAAAAAGGATCCAATATGTTCTACAAGTATCTAGAACAATCTAGAATTATCGAGAAAAATCTAGAAAGATCTAAAAGTTTTTAGAAACTTATGGAGGAATGTGGAGATATCTAGGATAATTTAGAATATTCCACACATATCTTGAAGGTTATTCTCTAAAAATATCCTTGTAGACATCTAGATATTTGTTGTAGATATTTTTATGAAACACTCTAGAAAATGAATGTAAATCGTAGGATTAGATTGATCTCTACTGTCCATCAAGGAGGTGGGAATTTTTTAGAGAAAGGGGAGGCTTATAAATAGCCCACAATCGCTCATTTGAAAACTCAAGCAAATCAATAAAGCTCTCCAGTTCATTCACTCCAACTCTTTACTTGTGCAACTAGTCCTCTTAAATCTCTTTGCCTACTTTATGGGTTCACTTACTTAGTCAAGATCAAGAGATTGATCAAGCTAAAGTCGGCACGGTTCAAGAAAAGAGAAATTCCAAGGCCGTGACACTAGGTGAGTTCTTACGCTGGGAGGACAAGGATATTAGAACAAACAGAATAACCCTCACTGACTGTTTCCTCATCTACTTGCCGGACTTTGGGTACGGAGCTTCAACTTTAACAGTACAATTACTGGCTGAGAATTGTAGGTCATGATTTTTAATATTATATGCTGTCTTTCTAGTCTTCCGAACATCATGGATCTTTTTACAGCGTGTCCGTCTTTGAATCCTCGTGAAAGATTTGTAAAGTACAAATTAATATGTTAATCTTTCGTCCTTCATCTAAGTTTGAAGGGCACCAAAGTCATGCGGGTCGAATAATGGAAAATTATGTGTCTAGTACCAAGAATTGTTCTCATGTTATATTTGTCTACCGTAAGTTTGTGATCTTGATCCTGCCCAGCACTAGGCTCCTTTTGTAGAAGATATTTTGGGATGAGACATGCTGGCAAGTTTTCAATTAGTTCTCAGTAGAAAAGCTCTCTATACATCTAATATCCTCTGTTTTTGTTGTCTTACTTGCATGTTATGCAGATGCTGATCTAAGGCTTGCCCGCAGAATTAGACGGGACACAGTTGACAGGGGTAGAGATGTACAGTCGGTACTGGAACAGGCAAGTCTTTTTGTTGTCTTAAATTCATCACACTGACCAATAAGATGAATATCATCTGAGAAAAATTAAACTATTTTGCGCGTTTGGAAATCCAAGAATTGGTACAAGGATATATTAAAATGATACCATTGACATCCAAGGACGATAAATAAATAAATAATACCTTCCACGCTGACTCTGATGATTCAGTACCTTTGAACAAAGTAGAGTCCAATATAATGAGCAAGGGCTGGTCCCAAAAATTAAGTTAATACCAGCTTTCGAAATAATAAGCAAACAATACGATTCATGGTTTATATCTTTCAGCAGGGTCACGAACTTACCATTCTAACACATTTTGTGTAAAAGGATATGATTACAAGAGTCCAACGACAGTAAGCGATCATTTTTCTTTTAATTTGAGCACAAGGATAATTATCGCAGTCTTGGGATTGGGGAAGGACTAATTAATTAATACTCCAAGTTCTATGTCTCTCGCATCTGTGGGACAAAAGGCTAGAAGAAACTGATCGGCACAGTATAATACAATATTTATGTTGGAAGGAAGTCGCCAGAAACTTTAATGACTGCACCTTCCTGATGCTGCACGATCAAGATACACACTTTTCTGCTGATGTTATTCCACTAAATTTTTGACAACATTGAGTGGCTGATACATAGACCTTTTTTAATGACTTTCAGCATTCAAAATTTGTTAAGCCTGCCTCTGATGATTTCATTCTTCCAACCAAAATATTTGCCGACATCATAATTCCTCGTGGGAAAGAGAATGTAGTAGCAGTTGACTTGATTGTTCGACATATCCGCACTAAGCTTGGCCAACATAACCTCTGCAAAATATACCCGAATTTGAATGTTATCCACTCTACATACCAGGTGATCTTCATCATCATAATCATCATCATATCCTTCCTTTTAACTGCGTTTTTTTTTTTCCTCTGCTTCTCTTTCCCGTGGAGATATATAATTATATACGTTGTATGCATTTCTGATGTTGAAGCCCTCTGACAGATTATAGGCATGCACACTTTAATTCGTGATAAGAATGTATCGAAGCACGATTTTGTTTTTTATTCAAATAGGCTAATCCGTTTGGTAAATAATGACCTTACGCTTTGATTCTAATAATGGCTTAATGCTCTTTCTACATTATTTATATAGCCATTTACAAACTTCTACAAACTAATTTTAGCATCTAATTTCACAGGCAGTCGAACATGGTCTAGGTCATTTGCCATTTACAGAAAAGCAGGTTATCACACCTGCAGGTCTGTCTGAGAGTTGGGAGTTTTAGTAATTCATTGATCTCACGACCGAATATTTAATTATGCTTTGTTTGAATCGTGCTGGTTTTCTTCAGACTACTGCAGTATTTTTTATGTTATTCCGTCATTCCAGGATCAATTTACACTGGAGTTGATTTCTGTAAGAAATTGTGCAGTGTGTCTGTTATTCGAAGGTAATTTCCTAGTTCAAACGGCTTACCCCGTTGCTCTAATCCGTCATGTTTTTATACATTGTCCATTGTCATTTCTTAATCTCATATATATGGTGAATTTTGTAACGGGCCATTAGGCAGCAGTCATTTTAGCCCTTTAAGATAACATTACAATGCCCAGTACCAAAGTTCATTTCCCTTTCAAAACACTTCTCCTCAACATCATTTGACAAGAAATTTACTAAGTCGCAACTCGTGTATATCCTACTCCTATACGTAACCTGAGTTGCACAATCCAATTCAAGTGATCATATATGTGAAATTGTGAGCTTCCTTATTAGTATATTGCTGGGTTATTAGGAACTATTTCGATGATCCAGTTGTTCTTTGAAAAGGTAAATATATATTTGTGTAGATAGAGAGAAAGAAATGCCAATTGTGTGTAAATTGGTTGAGCTTTGTAATGTCTCAGTGGTGAAAGCATGGAGAATGCTTCGCGTGCATGTTGTAAAGGAATTAAAATAGGAAAAATTCTTATCCACAGTGAAGGACGCGATGATACCCAGGTACTAGTTCCTATGTCTCTTGTTTTTTTGTTTTTTCTTTGGTTGGTGTTGTGCAGTTCTCTGGAACTGGTTCACTTACAATACCCTCCGCGCTCTCTATTTCTTCTTCTAGTATAAGCTTATTTATGAGAAGCTTCCAAAAGATATTTCAGACAGACTTGTTCTCCTTTTGGACCCAGTACTTGGTGCACGTGAATTACCGTCTTCTATTATGTCTTCCTTTGTTTTCTCTTAATAAGATATTTCACTATCCTTCTGTTATTTTCATTTATTAACAATGGTTCTACCTTCATTACTTGAGGGGTTCGTATCGTATTTTAACATTTTTTTAATAGAAACTAAATCATATATTCAAAAAAGGATAATTAATTACATGAGGATAGGAGCTAATCCTAACCTTCTTTAATTTCATCATATCCATGACCTCGCCACAATAAGGTAGAGGTTGATATATCAAAGGCGTAAAAATCTTATATTAAAAAAAAAGGTGTAAAAATCATTAACTAACTCATGGGAGAATCTGGGCAACAAGTATGCATACTGATCAGCTTCTTAGACGTAAAATTAACAGATATATACCAACCCCTCTCAAAGCGCTTTCCAGCTTCCTCTAACCTCAACAATAGGATATGTCTCCCCCCCCCCCCCGGCGTACTCATGCACGCGCGCAAAAAGATGTGTTTTGTCAAGTGAAGCGTACGTGCAAAATACCTTTGGTAGATCGACATCTTTCTTCAAAATTCTAGCTTCACATTGAATGATCTGTACAGGTAACTCTACCAGCCAAGCCATTGAGCTTCTCATACGGACTGGAGTTCCAGAGTCCCGCATTATATTCCCCAACCTCATCTCTGTAAGTCTTTTCTGAATTCTAAAATTAGAAACCAGGAAAACGGGATTTACCTTCCTATGTCCCTCCTCTATTCGCGGCTCTATATATAAATCTGTCTATATATTTCAACGCATGATTTCAGGCTCCTGAGGGAATACACCGTATATTCCAACGTTTTCCATACCTGAAAATCGTCACTTCGGACATTGAAGCTGGACTAAATGAAGAGCTTCGAGTCACCAGGGCTGGGAGAATTTGGAGACCGCTATTTCGGTACTGATGAGTGACCCAAAAAAAAAAAAAAAACTTAAACAAACACAAAAGCGGAAGACGATTCTCACAGACTCAGAAGGTAGGGTCTGAGCGCGACAGATATCAAATGCTATTTATTTCGTGCACGTACTCACTTTGTCCTTGTATGTAAAATATTTTTTAAAAATTTATTTTGTTTTTAAATATAAATAATGACAATAATATTTTAATATTTTTAAATAATTAAATAATTTTGCTCTTATCTCAAAAAATAAAATAAATAAATAATTATATATTTTCTCTACCATATCATAATATTAATTATAATATTATTAAGGATAAAATTTAAAAATTATTATATTTTTATGTGAGTTTAATTAAATAATAAATATTTATTAATATGTAAAATTTGATTAAAGATATCTTATATGTGGAGACAAAGGAAGTATTTATTTGTTGACTCATACTAGTTTCTGTAATTGAACAACTATTTAATAGAGCGACATTCCCAAGACAAAGTAAATGGCCTTGGTTGCAAGCCTTTTGAGTTTGATCTTCTAAGTGTTTCGTTTGAATTTCAATTAGATATAGGAGATTATAAAAATAATTAATTAAATAATAAATTTTAATTATAATTGATTATATTATAACACAATTTTTTTTAAAAATTATTTTTTTAAAATTAATTTTAACAGAATTGAATATGTTTGAATAATTTAATTAAAATTAATTTTATCTATATAAATTACTATATAATTTAATTTTTAAATACCAAACATTAATTTTTATGAAGATATAAAGTTTAAATTTTATTAAGAAGAAAAAAAGAAAAAAATTTAATTTTATTTTTATTAAATTATATGTTTTCTTTATAATTTTTTCTTAAGCCTTTCTTTATAATTTTTTCAATATTTTTTGACTAGCTTTTCTGCAAAAGCTCCATCAGCTTTTGAAATGTTTGAATAATTTTGTGAAGAATTAATTTTTTGAGCCAAAAATTAATTATTTTTGCTATCCAAACACACACTAAAAGACCTCACACACTTAATTGCTGTCAAGGAAGATTTTTTTCTTTTAAAAAAAATTGAAAAGCCAAAAAATACCTTTTTAATCAGTTGAGATAGAACATCTGCATTATGCTCGTTTTATTATGTTCATTAAATAGTTAATTTTGATAATAATTAAACAAAGTACCAAAAATTTTAACAGGAGAATGTATCAAACTTCTGTAACAACAATCTTCAAAAGAAAACCGTTTTTATTCACAACCGAGGAATTTTTTTTCGGGGTAATTACTTCATGTTATTACACGCACAGATATCAACCAACGTAGCTAAAAATAACCCAACAGCAAAAATCAAAAAGAGAATAAGAATGCTTTGATTTTATGGTGGCAGTGGCACACTGGCAGCTACAACCTACAGCTAGCAAAGCAGATAAATTTAGCATACATATTTGAGAAATATACCATTTGTAGTTTAAGTCTTGCTTGATTGTAATCAAACTAGTTATTTAGTCGTGCGGTCGTGCATTGCATGAGATTCAAAAAATTTTCGTAGACCATAGTTTACGACAAATAACTTAGATTCTAATAGTATATTTATATTTTCCAAGATCAAGTGGATGCAAAGCTACAAAAATGTAGAAAATTATGAAGTTTATTTATCAATATGAAATTATGAAGTTCACGTCATGCTAATGTGATGAATAATGTAGTTTATTTATCAAGTCCCTACATATGGGGCCCACGTCTAGTTATACCAACTGGGGTAAATTCAATAAATATTCATATGCAAATTAATTGTGTTTCTTTTACTGAAAGAGGGAAAGAATAAGAAGAGAAAAACAAAGGGCAGAGAGCAACGCAATTTCATCAAGGTGATTTTGGGACACTGATACCTGTAGCTAAAATATGTGGGCCTTTAAGTGACTATAAGCAAAGGGAGCTAATTGTATAATGGATTTCAAGTTAAACAAAAACTCCCGACCAAGAAACCAACCTAGAGGCTGCATAATCCGAAGATGCAAAATTTAAAACGTGATTGTGTTTTGCCTATCTGCAGGAGCCACACACTGCCACAATGAACGGTAGGATGGTATATTGACTGCATCAACCCCAAGTGCAGATAAGTTGCGAGCATACTCCTGTGATGAATATGTGCAAGAGTCAGTTTATGTTAAGTGTCAGCAATTAAAAAGTTTATTAGACGAGGCTTAAAAATTCAAACATGACTCAACATTCCCACATATCATAGTGCTTTGCATGTGCAGGAGTGAGAGCAAGAGAAGAAGAGATCATGCATAGAAAATTGGAATTGATTGTTGTGCCTACCTGAATGTCAAGGAACAACTGCATACAGATTTTATCCGTGTCAGAGACATTATGATCTGAGACATCCGAACTAGCTCCGCCTCGCCTTTGTTGTGCTCCCTGCCGAATTCTCTGGAGTGAAGACTCTGTCTTCCTCGCCTGATCATGATCATCATTTATTAGAACGATTCTAGGGATAGAATCCTAAATATTCACAAGAAAATTCAACGGTGCAATTTGGCCTTGGACACTTACCACATTAACAAGATCAGCTGCTAATTCGTAATAACGGTCAGTGATTTCAGTTGCAGCACCTAGAAGTACTTTATGTCTGGCTTCACTTGCCAAATATGTTGCAGCTCTCTCCCCATCCAGGAAAGCCTGGAATGTATTGGAATGTCAACAACATAAAAAATCATGATTGAAAAGTATTTATCGAAAAAAGCAAGAAATATATCCTATCCACAAAATTATTTTGCACATGTAGTATCACTTGTCTCCCAAACACAAATCGTGATATAAATCATTATATGATAAAGGCACAGAGCAGAAGCACTATTCCTGCTATCTAGGATTAACTTGAGATTGCAAATCTTGAAAGGAACCATCTTCTATATATACCAAAGAACAAAATTTCCCTTTTCAGATAACCGTAACTAGTTAAGATTGCAAATGGCTTGCACTAACGATACCGACCAGACTCAAAATCCAATCAGAAATCATCATCCTCACAACTTGAGCTAAACACATGGTGGAAGAGTGAAACTATAAAATAAAAAATTCCACAATTGAACAATATTGCATACCTTAAGAGGACGCAATGCCCCAGAAACATAAGGGGAATGCCTCACAGGAAGAGGTTTATTAGTCATCCTGTAGGTTGCTGTTATTCCCTTCATCTGCCTCAGGTCCTAGATTAATTTTAAAGTATGTGAGCGTATTAGAAGGAATTGGAAGAAAATACATAAGCAAAAAGATTTTTAGGAAATATTATATATCCAAATCCAACAACAAAACCAACTTAAACAACAATTTGGTAAATTAAATCACCTCAACTGACTTCTCCACAAGTGACTCCACCACTGTTTTGATGACTAAAGGTTCCAAATCTTTCAATGATTGACCACCTTGTAAAATGCTCTGCCTTACCAATTCAAGAACATCGGAGGAACAAGTGGATAGAATTTGAAGCACGTGTTGAAGAAAATCACCGTCAACCTGCTCCTCCAGACATCTGATATCATGCATAATCTGCAAATTATTTAAGATCTGTTATAATGGAGGTCAAGCACGATCGTGCCTTTTTCCTTAGATTGAATTTTTTTTCATGAATATCTGACAAATGTGGCAGGCAGGGCCAGCTTTGGCATATCATAATCATTACCAAGGATAGCATACCTTCAAAACAATTTTTTAGCAATTTCTTAATTCTTAATTCAGAAAACTCGGTTGTAAAACCTTAAGAATTTCTAGGCAAGAGGTAATTGGTATAAAAAGAAGAAAGTGTTTAACGAAGTAACTCATGAAGTATTACTTGAGCAATCAGAATAAGGATTAACCAGATGTTAAAACAACTTGTAACCGAAAAGAAGTCCAGAAGAAAGCAAATAAATATGCTACAATCGAGGCATGATGCATACAAAAATAAAGTCATCCGCAACAGCTGAAACAGCCCATTCAGACCCTGGGCTGGTGCTTGTGTTCCCAGTCTTGCGAGCAGTCAGCCCAGCTGACAACCAATTAGTGTATCTGTAAAGTTTTAGGAAAATCTGGTCATTGTTCCATAAAAAGAATCAACAGAAATTTGCAACATTTCAGTTTAAACTGACCTAGCAAGAAGCTGCAAGGATAAGCGGAGGAACTTATCAGAACAAGAAAGCAAAAAAACATCTTCTCTCCAGCATGACCTCAAGCTCTCCAATAGAGTGACACTCTGTTTTAGAGTTAGATTTTGATAGTTTGCTTCACCAGGGTCTGAATTATGAACAGGGACAAGACTTGATGTTATAAGCACAGAATCTAGAGCTCCTGCTATTTCCTGAAACCTAAAGCAAATGCAGGTATCATTTCCATGTCACCAACAACTAAAAAAAATTCTTTAGGATCATGACCATCTTATAGTAGATGAAGTACCTCAGAGAGAAATATACACCAATATTCCATTGCTTCATGAACTCTGAATAAATAGCTTGAGAACGAAATTTAGCAACTGCAGATCTGGACGGGCAGTAGCCTTCCATGAAATCCAGAGTTATAAAATTTAGTGAATGAAATCTCTTAATACATGTAGAAATGAAATTAATAGATGCACTAACAAATTGATACCATAAAGTTCTTTCATAATTGAAGGCCTACATTTTTTATCTTAAGGGGAAGAAGTGGGTTATGATGAAGGAAGACTTGAGTCATTTGACAACTACCTTCAAGATGAGCCAAGAAATCCAGGCTTGATTTGTAATTTTTCAAGAACTCTGTTGGTCTTCCTGGAGAAAATGCCCCAGGCTTTCCCTTCTGGATTGCAGAGAGAACCTCTTTGAGAATTGAATTGGCCAAGAAGTCAAAAACATGCAACCCAGAATTTTCTGCACCAAAAACCAAACTTCAGACAGATTTAATGCAATCTAGAGATACTGCTATTATATTCAACACCGGCATTGTGTTCTTGATAGGTGAATATGCCTGATATATTTGCAGAACAATGGCTTGAGTGCACGACTGTATTTCAACAATTCTATAATATAGATAAAGACAGATAACTCATGGTCCAGCTGGCAGGACATATGGTAAAAAATAAGTAGAAGATAATTCAATAGTCCAAATTTTTAAATACAAAGATAGACTAAGGAATTGACAAGGTCCATATAACTAATGCAGCATTGATTTATTCATATAGATAGTGAACACAGATATGTACCAGCTGAAGAAATCTCCAATAAAAATTTACAGTCTTTATCAATGCACTCCTTAATCTGCTCATAATCACTATCAAGTCCGTCTGCAGATGATTCAGCAGTCATGGCTGAAGGTCCATGTGGAATAATCTTCTGTATCAATGGGGCCACGATAGTGGTTCGAAAAATTTCTTCTGCATTCTTGGTGTTATCAATGGCAGCATATGCACGTAAGCAATTGTATATTGCAGTTGCATCTCGGTGCTCTAGACCATCAACAAAGCAATGGCCCAAGCTTGCATCTAATATTAGGCTAGCATTTTGAATCCTCTTCTCCATATTTTCAATAAAAGGCAGGTTCTGTACTGGCATAATTGAGAAAAAGAGATGAGCACAGAATGTATTGAGGTCTAAAAACAAGACTGAAACAATTTTCACCATTTTTTTCCCACAATTAAATAGTCCAGATCAGAGAGCTTTCATGTTACAATGAATCGCCAACCTCAAACACTAAAAGGATCAAGTCATACATACATGTAACATGTTTTTAACTTTAAAGACACATCAGGCAATAAGATACCTGGCTCTCTAAATTTTGGCTGATTTACTCTAGGCATATTTCAACCAAATTTTAGAAGGCTTTTCAACTCTTTGACATAACAAAGTAAAATGTACATAAAGATGTGAGTCTGCAGTTTATAACACATCATGGTGATGAAATGACAAGAAAGACAGGACCTGCATCAAGGTAAGTAAAAAAAAAAAAAAAAAAATCCTCCAAACATATAGTTCCATTACATTATCTATACTTAAGATAAGCTCAGAGAGCTGATAATTGTAGATGCATTAAGCAGTGTGTTTTCAAATAAATTTTTAATTCCTTCACCCAATATTCAGCTTCTTAACAGGATATAACCTCCTCTGTGGCACAATATAGGAAATGCTCTTTAGGCCTCATGTGGCAGCCTTGAAAAATGGATTAGTTATTTTCTTTTACAAAGTATTTTATCAACTTCTACGATACCATGTAGTTTGGCAGATTTGGTTTAAGTGAAGACAACCAATTTCCTCCGTAGACCTTTCTCCTCCACAGTCCACTGACCTCACATAATCTACTCCAATCATGGGTCAAGGAAAGTGTAAAGTAAAAAATAAAGGATAAGATACTAAATTTTAAGATCTGCTTATTTATAGAATTCAAAGCCCAAAAACTCGAAAAAGAGAAAAAGCAAAAGTTACTTCCCACCGTACTCTGCATGGCATATATTTCAATTCACTGGAAACAGTTAGTCCTTCAAAAGATGATTTGGCCACATGTATAGTAGTAAGAGAAACAACCAGATTCTCACCATGCTTCAGCAGATCCTTCCAACCCATAATTTTCTATTCAATTATTTCAATCAATTTCTGTTTTTTTTTTTTTTACAAACTGTAAATAAAGTGAAGGAAATTAAAGCAAACCTTGGCATGTGTGACATAGAACTTCAGCCGGTTCATCTCACTGGCGATTCTCTCCAGCAGCACGCTTTGAGTTTCTCTGACGCTAGTCCCATTCTCAGCATGTTGCACAGAAATACCATTGCTCATGGAATTTCTCTCTGCCAAATTCACATCTCCATTTGACCAATCAGCAGGCACACTAGGTAGCTCCTTTATTAGTTTTTCAACCTGGAATCATTTAAAAAGAAAAATATATAATAATACTAAGAAAATAATATCGGTGCACTAGATGTGATTGACTGGATCTGGATCCTAAATTGAAAAGATTTTAGGGCTTGAAAGGTATCTTGAGTAACTTCTTTGGGGCAACTCCTTCCGCTTAAAAGAAAAGGGACAGATGTTTTTTAAATTAATTATTTCAATCTCAAATACTCTGTTCCAAATTAGAATTAGGAATCCTGTCTTCATTCCACAACCACGCCAACAAATATTTTTTTTGCCAGACACGCCAACAAATGATTGAGAACGAAATTATCAGATTTGTCAGGGTTATTACATTTTGCTACAGAATGGAAGGAATTACATCTCTCGGGACATAAAGTAATATCCGTATCGTGAGCCTTCCTAATTCCATTGTAACTTGACACAGCCAAGTAGAAGAAAGCATCATGTTCTCACGTCATAGTAACTCGAGTAACATCGATGTCAGACAACTTGTAAAACTCCATTAACCGCGTAACACGAGAAAAAGTTGTGCTACGTTCAATATGGAAAATTTTCCGCAAAAATTCCCTACTGAATGGACATTTAGGCTTTACATTATAGATCCGGAACGCTGCTATGCCTGATTACAGATGATATTCCAGTAAATAGCCCAAAGTTATTCACTCACAGACAAAAGTACTTACCTTAGATACCACGTGAAATGTATCCAGAAGAAGCTCCAAAGTCTCCCTCGCTGAGGCTGCCTCGGATCTTTGCCTTAGCCCGTTTTTCATGGACACTAGCGAACCTTCCACTAATCCCCTGAATTGCTCAATTTTATCTCTGAGCTCTACTAGCGGGGCCCGCATGCGCACCACTGCGGCGTCTACATCGACAAGCTTAGTGCTCAAGTTTACAAAATCGGCATAATCACGATTAATTAGATCGATGAGCTCGTGATTGAGGGAGGACAGGTAATTCTGAAGCTCTGAGCGAAGAGTGTCGAAAGGGACGAAAGTACGGAGCTCCGAAATGTACGATTCAGAATCGAAATCCGGGGATAGAAACGATGCAGGCTTAAACCATAATGGGTGAGTATCGAGAGGATCCGAGAAGAGGTCCGCGGCGGATCTGGGCGGTGGTGTGTGGATCTGATCCACCATCCTCCACGGTTTTATCTATTCAGCGTTTGGTTGGTGAGAAAATGCGAGAAAACAACAGAAAGCTAGGACTACGGGAAGCGCTTTGCACCTCGGTGTGGGGGTTCTCTCTGAACGAAGAGGTTGTTAATTTCACCAAGGAGGGCAACTTGCCTGCTCCACGCCATCGGAGCCGTCCTTTCGACCGTTCCTTTTTATTTAGTAACTGTTTTTCCCCCTTTTTTTACGATTATTTCTTATTATTCTGATTGACGTAAATCAATCGAGGTCCCGGGCAAAATGTTTGTCAATTCAAACAATTATAAATTCTAAATTTAAGAGTTTTAATAATAAATTATTATTTAAATATCAAATATAATTCTTAAATTTTAACAAAAATTTATATTTATAATTATTTGAATTGATTTTATAAATTTTATCAGGAATCTAATTATTGATAATTCAACTTGTTGAAACTTAATTGTCAATCTTTTTTTTTTTAATCTACATGACTTTTTTCTTGAGTATGTTACTTTTTTCCCTTGTCTAAGTTAGCATTCTTACTTCCCACATTATCAATCTATATGCCCGCCATATCATCGTTCTATTAGCCATATTAGCATAATTTAGCAGTGTCAATTTCTCATATAAGATTAAAAACTACTTAGATAAGCTTATAAAATATTAAAAACTGAAATGATAAAAATATAAGGGATTAAAAATTGCATTATTGTTAAAAACATAAAATATGATGTTAATATGTATATTCTTTAATTAATTAGATTCCAATCAGTTTTGAATACATTAAATATAGAAAAATTACATATAGGTTATGTGGAGCTGACTTACTTATAAATAAATCCTATAAAATTTAAAAATTACAACTAGATCTCTTGATATTTGAGTGTAATTTAAAATTAGAATAAAAAAATAATAATATCCTTATTAAACATATATACATTAAATCAGTTAAATAATTTACAATAATTTTATCAATAATTTATAATTATAATTTTAACTTTTTAGAAATATAACTTCTTATGTCTAATAATTAAACTGAAGTTTAATTAAATTTAATTATTGAACATAAGAAGTTATAGTTGTAAAAAGTTAAAGTTATAGCTATAAATTATTAATGAAGTAGTTGTAAATAAGTAATGTTAAACTTTATTAGTAACAAATAATTATTTAATTATTAGATATGTGAAGTTATAATTATAAAAAATTAAAATTATAAATATAAATTGTTGATAAAGTATTTGTAAATTAATTATTTCATTGATGTAATGTATGTTTTATAGGAATATTATTATTTTTGTAGAGTAATTTCAAATTACACTCAAATATCAAGAGAGTTGGCTGTGTTTTTTGAATTTTAAGGGATTTATTTGTAAATAAGTCTGCTCTACGGGACTTATATTTAATTTTTCCTTAAATATATTCCACTAACTCCTCCCATTTTCTTTTAATAACTAAAAGTCATTGTCTTTTCCGTGGGCAACACTGAAAATTAAAGGTCCGTTTGGTTTTTCTCTGTTTTATATTCAGAAAGTAAAATTTTACTTTCAAAAAATTAAAAATTATTTGGATAAAATATTTTACAGGAAAGCAGAAAGTATATTTAAACAATAGCTGAAAGTAAATTTCTGAAATGTAACTATTTAAAACTTTTGAAAAGTGAATTTAAAAAGTAGGATGTTATTTGACTATACTACCCTAAGTTTAATCTCTTATTTTTTATTTAAAAAATAATTAATTCATTAAAAATATAATTATTATTTTAATAATAATAATTAGGTATCAATTTTTTTAGTATTATAAATTAAATAATTAATTATGTTAATTTTTAGCATTAATGTATAATAAAAATTATAAATTTTTATTACATCTTTCAAAATTAAAAATTAAAAAAATACAAATAACTAGAGATCAAATTTTTAGCATTATAGATCAAAATTTATATTATTTAAAATCTTTATTATATTTTTTAAATATTTTAAATATATTACATTTATATAATAAAAATTATAAATTATTATAAATCAATGTCCTTTTTGATAATTGTACATTTAAAAGCATATTTTACTATCACAAATCAAACAACTTTTAATGTATTAAACTGACTTTTAAAAAAATATATCCAAATATAAATTTCATTACAACAATTGACTTTCACCAAATAAATTTTTGGCAAACTAAAAACCAAACGCACACTAAGTCACTCGCTTTATTTTTTTTTAACAAAATTTATTTACAATTAAAAATTTTGGAGACTTTCCCATTAAAGTATTTGTGAATTACTCTCTTTCGCTTAAAATATAAGCATTTTTTCTCAATTAATCTTGATTCAAAATATAAGTAACCTAATACATGTAAAAAAATTTCTCATTTTACCTCTTATATTTATTAACTTAGATATTTGTATAATTGTATAATTGGAACTAAGGGTAAACAAGAAAAATAATATATATATTTTTTGGGAATGAAGACTTTATTCGTATACAAATTTTTCCTAAAAATTACTTATATTTTGGACTACAGAGAGTATATTTGAAAAATATATTTCATACATTGTGTTTGAACCAAAAACGGAGCGCCAAGCCCAATTACAAAGATCTCAAAGCCCAAACCAAAGAAGGTAGAGCTCACGTCACTTACAATTCAATTACGCGAGAATAAGTGAGATGGTGTGTTGAGGGGTGATTTGATGGGGTCTTGACCACTCCTCCCACTATTCAAAATTCTTAGTACTCTAGCATCCACCACTTTGCACGATAGAACTCCCTCCAAGCGATTATAGGCATAGACAATTATCTGCTCATATTAGCACCAAGCTTAAATTCAAAAAGCAACATGCCATTACCATTTGTTATAAATAGGCAATGAGCATGTAAGTTAGGGCTCTAGACACTTGCCAAATCTACCCCAAACTTGCCCAACATAATTAATCAAAACACAACCTTGCGTTGTCTTCAACCTTGCCCACGATGACTTACCTTCTCTGTGCAAACCCCAATCCTTTAGATTAGTTTTTCAAACTTGTCTATCTCTCTATATCCACAAAGCATCCCATTGTATTACCTTTTTTTTAATTAATGTCATCAAGCCCCATGCTCATTTATGACATACCCATTATTATTATTCTCACAAGTCACTTGACTCTTCAAGAAAATTATACTAAAAGTACCATTTCCATCGTCTGATTATAATTCACTATTTTGAGAACATGCTTGGCACACTCGAACACTCAAAAAGTTGGATGCTCCAACCCCTTCACTGAAAATCAAGCCAACACATTGTAACTTTTTATCACATAACACATCGCACTTTGGGTATAATAGTAATCCGAGCCAAGCTTGATGAGCTAATCCAAATAAGTTGAAAAAATTATAAAGTTGGGTTTGATTTTTAATTTTTCTTTTCACCCTGGCCTTATTTGGGCACAAATATTCATATTCTTTTTTTATTAATAATAAAATAAAATTAAAAATAAGATAAAAATTGAAAAATCTTAATGTTTTAAGAAAAAAAATTGAAATTTGGTAAAAAAAAAAAAGTAAAATAATATTTAATAATTCAGATATTCGAGACAATCCAAAAGCTCAAAGCATTAGGACTGAACTTGATTATATGAGTTGTTTTATATGCTCAAGTATTTTAAGACTAATTTAAATAAATTTGACCCGCCCGAATTAATAGCTTTCTGATAGATCTTTGGCTTTTTTTAAAATACTTTAACTCAAAAGACATTGTATTCCTCTACACAACATGCAAAATCATGTCAATGATCAGTATCAATCCGTGACGATTCTAGGCACACTCAAAAGACATTGTATTCCTCTACATGACATATAAAATCATGTCAATGATCAGTATCAATCCGTGACGATTCTAGGCACACATGTATGAGCGGCAAAACATACAGATGGGAGCTAAAACTAATTTTTAACAATAAAATTAAAAATATATAAAATTGTTGGGGAACAAGGCCTTATACCAATATACATAATGAGAAAGGGATGATTCTTTGACCTCTAATATTGTTAGTAGTGTTCGAATTAGAGGAAGTAGAGGAATTATTAGATTAGTAGGCTTACTTAGCTATTCTTTTGGCGCCTTTCATCATTAACCCTCTCATTTTCAGGAAGGGTAAGACTGTGAAAGGCATTAGTGTCTTCTTTTTGGTTATCTGCCAGTGTATATACTTCATGAGCATAAATTAATCCATTTTTCATTAAAAAAACATACATAACACCACCATACAAGTGAGGATTAATAAACTTTCTCCAATGGTAAATACTTTTGATAGAAAAAGTATAAAAACAATAAATACATACATGCATACATACATACATACATACATATAACATATTGTTTATGTTTATTACAAAACTAAGCATAATGAAATAAAACTTAATTATTGAAAATCCAATAAAAACATTTTTAATTTGATTATTAGATGTAATTATCATTAGACAACCCAGTTGTCACTGTCAGCCTATCCCCCTCCGTAAATACCAGACCTTAGCCCTCCCCCTCCCTCGCTCATTTTTTGTTCAGACTTGTCAAAATTTGTCGAATCTAGACCTAGATTGGGCCTATGAATTCGTGCCATTCTAATGTTCATTGTTGTTGAAGTGGTTTTGTAGGCCCATTAGATTAATTCGGGAAGACGAGGAGAGACGAGGTTCTTCTGGTCCTATTATTCTTAAATTTTCCACTTCATTGAATTTTTTCTAGCATACCAAGCAACAATCATCTAAAAATTCCATTGATCCTTTCTAACATGCCAAAACCTTTTTTTTTTTTTTTTGCATTTTCGAATTCCAATTTCAATTTATTTTCCAATTCCATTTCCCTCAATACTTCCAGCAAACCAAACGGGCTAAACACTAGTTAAAATTAAGATTGACTTCTAATTCAACCATGATCAAAATTCATTGCTAAATCCTGACTAACTTCTATTTATCGTACAAACTTACTGATATAATTTATTATATTACATTAAAATCACCATTAAAAGAATTAAACATGCATGGTGCATTGAACAAGAAAAATAACGAGTGCATATACTGATATGAACTCTTTCTAGATGCATGAAAGCGGAAAGACTAATATAGCTAGAAATCTGTGTGACACAACCTATACGACATAACCACGTAAGAAAGAGAGGAAAAACTTATTGATATAATCCATTACATTACATTAAAATCAACAGCAACAGTAAAAAAATTAAACATACATGGTGCATTGAAAAAGAAAAATAACAAGTGCACATACCGATAAGATATGAACTCTTTCTAGATGCATGAATGTGGAAAAACTAACATAGCTAGAAATCTGTGTGTCTGTGACGCAACCTATACGACATAACCATGTAAGAATAAAAGAAAGGAAAAACATGACAACTCTGGCAATTCATAATAAAGGCGCTACAACAAAGCCTTGCAGTACAAATAGACTAAAAGATGTCACCTCTCTGTAAATGGCATTCAATTAAACTCGAACACTGACAGATTTATCAGCATTACACAAGTCCAATAAAATCTTGATTTACTTGCGGAAATAGGAAACCACCTAACGAGGGCTCTAACATGCAATTTATGTACATACAGCAGGTGATGGTCATGATCTAGATGTTTATTGTTCCAGCAAATATTAGTACTGAACATAAGCATATCCACCGGGTCATCTAACTTGTCATCTTTCACGTTTTACTAGTAAGCTCATAATCATAACTCTAGGGGGGAAAAATATTTCAATGCGCTTCCTTTGTGCTGGCAGCAAGGGGGTGAGGATCAAAACAAAAGCTGTAGGAGCATGGCCAAAACTCTGGGAGGCTATACTCCTTTCAAAAGCCCACCTCCCATTGGTAAGAAAAAATTGTCTTTTAAGGACCTATAATTCATTTTACAAATGAAATGGCTTGACAGCAGGCGCCCATACAAATATGCATGGTTTGGGAGATGGAGGCAGCAATGGGGGGAGAAAATTTGTACAGAGGAGAAACTCTCACATGAAATAGCTGAGTGCTTTCTTTCTTCTCGAACCACCTTCGCCGTATAGTTCATTCCATTGTAAGAGCTCAGTCATATTTACGGATTCAGAGGAAACACTTGCACATACCTGGCACAGAATAACATGATAAGTTACTTATTTTATTCCAGAACAAGAGCTCCGAAAGGCAGGGAAAGGAGAGGTGGGAAGCTTATACCCGTTCATGAGCATCTTTAAAGTCCTCCATGTTTAAAGATCGGATATCAGCACTGCCACTTAATGCCGGAGGAGATCTGCCTTCTGCCAGAGCAGCAGCGCGCTCCTGTCATGCATCAAACATCTCACATCATAATAGCCAAGCTTCCAATTAAACTTTTTTATAACATGTCCGACAAGCTTGTAGATAAAGCAAAATGATTCATGCAACCTACTTCAACCATCACTGGCAAAGTCACATACTGCTAAGACGTGTAGAAGAAAAACCTACCTTTTTTTCCTTCTCTAATATCTCTTTAATTGGGCGATGTGCAGCAGTCACGCAAAGATTCTGCAGTATGAGAGCAAGTATGAAGGCACCCCAAATTTTGACAAAGTAACGACAACACTGTCAAGTTAACATATATTGTCATATAACACAAACAGAAAAGGAACACCCATAACCTTGAGATCACTTCCAGAATATCCGTCAGTCATATTGGCAACTGCTTCCAAGTCGACATCAGGAGACAAATCCTCTTTTGCTAGTATAACTTTCAATATTTTTGCCCTATTTGGAGCATCTGGCAAATTTACCATCAATCTGCACAAGACCAAAGATCACACAAGATCTAACACATGCCAATACTCTTTAGGCTAATAAATAAGAAAGAAGATGCAGTTGAACATGATATTCACCTTCGTGGCAGCCTCCGGATGACAGCCTCATCAAGGTCAAAAGGCCTATTAGTGGCTGCAAGCACTAGAATTCGCTCGGTATCCTTCGTACGTAAGCCATCCCAGTTCACCATGAATTCATTTTTCATCTTGCGCATGGCCTCATGCTCCCCTGGATTTTCCCTCCTGCCCAACATGCTGTCAACCTATAAAAGACATTAGTTAAGACAACTCCTTTGAATTAATACCAAAAAAGATGCTGGGTAAAAAGCTTACTTCATCAACAAATATAACACTAGGAGCAATTTTACTGGCCAGAGAGAAGACAGCTTTCACATATTTTTCACCCTCACCAAACCACTGTGGCAAAAGGTGGCAAGAAACAAAGTTACAAAGGGCACAATAAAATAATACAAAATGACAAAAGCCACCAAATGAGCACAAAATTAACCTTAGACGTAATGCTTGACATGGAAATGTTGATGAAGTTAGCACCTGCTTCAGTGGCAACAGCCTTTGCAAGCATTGTCTTTCCAGTTCCTGGGGGCCCAAACAATAAGATACCCTTGCAAGGCTGTACACAACATTTTGACAAATAGCCTGTTAGGTGCACCAATAAATTGCTTTCCTATATAATTTCATAGGTCAATCTGATAGAGCTGCTGGGTTTATTAAGACATGCAAGAAGAAATCAAGGAAAGCACAAGGAGTAGAACGGAATAATTCTGCTGGTACAGGGAATTATCCTAAGGATCCTGAATACATGGAAAAGGAAGTGCTGAACTAGAGTGCTTTAAGCATGGGCTCTATTAGGGAGTGATGAATGTTACTTCTAGATAAATAGTTGCTTTGGTACTTCCAGTGGGAGTTTTAGGACATATTTTTGAAAGTGTGGTGCCAAGAGTCTAGCCTCTCGAATGCCAACAGATGCAATGAATTCCAAAGGATGCGATGGACACAATGAGGCAACAAATCTTAAATTTCATCAGATGATTTTTCAATATTGATGGTAACAAAATATAAGGCAATGATGCGTAAACTCATTTAATATTGGTAGAATTCCAATGAATAGCCATTGACAATCAAGAAATTAGGAAAAAGCATATGAAAAACAATAACAATATAACTTGCAGACAGTCAGCAAACATGATAAGCAGAAAGCACGTTAAACAACACAATGCACTTCAATTTGTAAAGTGAACCTTGGTTAATTGCCCCTTGCAAAAAAGCTCCGGCCTCTGCAAAGGAAGCATCACCAACTCCTTCAGTGTATCCTTGACATTTTCAAGAGCTCCAATATCATCAAAAGTAACACCAATGTCACTAGGAGGAATTACATCAGCCAACAGCCTCTTCTCAAACTCATTTTCTGTTACAACATCCTAGATTCAGCCAACACAATGAGTAAAAATCATTAAGATGACAGCCTTTGAATAAACACAGTAGTTAAACATCCACGATAGAATGAATCTATTATACAATCTAGTACAAGTGCATAACAATCACCTTCAAAGACTTCTTCAAGCTCTTGGACTCATTTTGAATGGCCTGCAATATCCCAATGCCATACTGGATGCTGGTAGCATGGCAAAAATGGCAACATGATTAAAAAGTTACAGCACAGTAAATATAGTATTCCACACAACTGTTGCAAGCTAGCAATTACCTTTCGCAAGACAATACAAGTTTGGAATTAGAATCAGCTTCAGGGTTCTGCATGAGGTGGTGGCTTAAAGCCCAACCAATTATCTTCTCTGCATCTGCAATATAGAGAACATGATATAAAAAGAGTAATTTGACCAGCAAAGCTTAAAGCTTTCGTATACTTATTAGCAGAACATACTTTCATTTGTAAGCGCCTGGTCTTTAATGCACAAAGACTCAAGTCCTTCACATTCCATTCCACAACGACTCAAAACCTACAAAAAATTGATTGACTGCATAAGTTAAGAACACCAACACCACAACCACAACAGTAAACATTTTTATCCCGCTATCCAGTTTAACACAACAAAACCTTAAACGTTAGTAACTTGCTGAATCTGACCCTTGCATGAGAAGACAAAACAAATGAATAAAATAAGAGAAAAGCAAATGGAGAGAGGATAGGTTTTGCTATTGATTAAAATTGCAAATTAAAAATGCATTCATAAAAATTACTCATTTTCTCTCCAAAATAGAACTGAAAAATGCGTTTAACAAACTCCCTTTCACCATTGTTTTTATATGTTATTAAAAAAGATAGCAAGGGGAGAAAAGAAGAGGAAACAAGAGGCAGGACAACAAGAAGCAATTACCCAAATGCAATTGATAGAACAAAAGAAACTACCCTTCATAATACCAAGTAAATATCCAAGGTATATGGTCTTTCATTCTAAATCACTTATGAGCAAGTAATATATCATAGTTGCCTGAAACCAATATTTCTTGACGAGATCACAAAGTAGTTTCAAAGAATTACATTACTACATGGGCAGCGTTAGACTAATACTTATTCAGGTTGCCTTTATCTGTAAAAAGTTAGTAGTTAGTAGATGGTAGGTGACAGCACTCGATGGTGTTAGACTATTACCTATTTAGGCTGCCTTTATCTGTAAAAAGTTACTAGTCAAATGGTAGATGACAGCATTTAATAACCAAGTGTTTGTAAATAGCTTGTAATTTTCGTCATTTTTAGTCAATAGAATCCCTTCTTTCTTCATAAGTATGATAGTGAATAAGATCTAGAATTATCGTAATATTCTCTCTACTCTGATGCATACAATATACGTTCATTCCTAGAAGCCTGCTTTAAAGCATTGTTGCTAATTGAACAAGAAGTGGCATTTGCAAAAATACCAGACAGTCAACTGCTGATTGATTGTAACACTCAAATGTCAGTCTGGCAAAAAAGACTTAACCTCACCTCTCAAGTCATAGCTACCAAGTATACAGTCACGAAAGCATGCAAAGCACATTAGTTCTACGACCACAGAATAGATCCGCATATCACTTACGTACAAGCATAGACTAAAAATGCATAGGTTCTTCCTACTTTTGGTTGCCTAAACATTTTCATACTTCATGTTCATTTGCTCCCTCTGGAGGCCCATAAAAAATGAAAAGTTGGTTATAAACTACTTAAATTCTAATGCATCAAGTTATACACGTTTGATATTTGGAGGGGAGGGGCTCCCCTCCCTTTGGTTGGTATTTAATAAAGGGGAGGGGAGGGGTGTTCCTTGGTTGATTAAAAAATTGGAGAGGAAGGGAGGGGAAAGAAAATATTTACGGACTAAATTACTCATTTATTACTTTGAAAATCCCAATCTACCCGATATTAAAAAAAATTATGCATTATCTTCCTCTCTTTCTTATAATAAAATAAATTTGATCACCTTATAAAAATCAACATATAATTATTAATCTCTAAAATTTTAATATTTTTTTCATTAGACACGGTAATAAAATGTAATATTAATATATTGGTTCTTCAAAAAAAAATGCTATTAATATAGATTGAAAATATTCATATCCTTAAAATAAAAAAAATTAATAAATTATAATATAACAATTTTGTTAAGAATATATCAAAGCAAAAAAATAAAAACCAACTTAAATTTGACAGGGATAAAACTGTCCACTTCTTATTAGTTCTCCTCCCCTCCCATCCTAAAATAAACAAAGGTTCATTAAAATCCCTCCTCTTCAATCAATCCAAACAAGGGATCATTACCCTTCTTTCCCTCCCCTTTATCCCTCCTCCCCTTCTCTTGAACCAAACCCACCCTAAGATCCTAATAGAAACAATTGTTCAAAAGTCAAATGGGCCCACGATAGGAACTCACCGTGCGCAGGTGATGCAAGTTTGCCTTGATTTTTAGAGTCTCAGCATCTCGATCCAGCTGCTGCTTCCAGGATGCTAGAAGTGCCTCATCCTATGACAGGAAAAAGTTATCAACAATATATGACATAAGAAGAGCACGACTGATCATGTGCAATCCAGCGTACAAACCTGTGGCATATGAATTGTAACTTTATTAGGAAAAAGCTTAGTCAAAGTTTTGTTTGGCTTTGGGACTTCCTTCCCCCTCTCATGCAATCTTCCAAAACTATCCTGGAATGATAAAAGAGACTGTTATATAGAGAAAATTAAAGAGATACAGTGCTGCTATAGATGAGAAATCCAGTAGATTAAACATCATACCAAAAAAAAAAGAAACAAATATACTTGCAATAAATTCAATAGGAGACAGAGTCATTACCGGGAAAGCCAAGTCAAGAAGGGCAGTTTGATTGCTTCCAAACTTCGTAAAAAGCAAACCCCCTGGATGTGACTGGTGGGAAAAATAATTGAAAAATTCAAAAGGTCAATAGGAAACATAGCCAATGACACAATTGCACGTATGCAGCTAATGGGTGCTCAATCTGTAATTTTGTATACTACATCAATTATCATCCACCTTCTTTGCCAGTTTCTCAATTAACATTGAACAAAAACAGATACGTTAAGCCCATAACCACTCAAAATGCAGTTCTTTAGAAACTAGAATTTCATCCTTTCAACAAGATCTCATTGAAATGAGATGTTATACATCAAACTTTACCCAGATAATCTAGCAGTTGGCTATTATGAACTTGTAATCATTTCCCAGAAAGCCAGGCATAAGTTTGGTCACTCAATTTCCAAAATGTATGACATTTCAGGATCATAAATTAGTATATTCAAGAAAATCAAAACAACTATACCTTCTCCTTCCGACTGTCAGTGTGAGTATGCGAGCCTATAACAACCACATTGTCTGGAAGCTTTTCAAGCCTACTTTTAAATGAATATGGATCTCCATTTCCTACGATAGACTTCTCAGCATCTTTCATGAACAAAATGAAAGGCGCAGTTCTGCTCTCACTACAAACAACCTAAAACCAAAACAAAGACATAGAAAAGCTGGAGTAAAATTAAAGAACAAAATGGTGATAAATATTTTTTTAAGACAACAGGGTGGAAAGAAAGGATACCTCAAATAATGTATTGATAAGTAATTTGTCCAACTCCTCCACAAAACTATTTTCCAATCGAAGATCACTAACTAGGAAGAGTAAAAGAGATATTTATTATCCAAGAACAAGATACACTTTCATACAAGACTAGAGAAAAACTGAACATATAAATGTATCTTATCAATGAAATCATACCATTGCAGAAAAATCCTTGACCTCCCTCACAGGCACCTCCAAGATCAACTCCATCAGGTATGGACTTATCAAATCTTACACCAATTTTTGACGAAGGATTATCATCAAAACATAAAACAACCTTCCCCCGACTTCCATTAGGTGGGCCCCTACATTGTCCATATAATATTGCTAAGCAACATTAAAAGGAAAAAATGAAAAACTAAAATTCAAACAAGAAAAAAGGGGGGAATGCATGTAAGAATAATAGGATTGGTAAATTATGAAGAGTGATGAACTGCATAAAGAGATACATAAAATCTAGTCCCCCAGTAATGTTCTCAATTAGAACCAATAGCCCATTTCGTTTACCAATATTTTAAAATTTAAATTGAAATATGATCTACATGAGAATCAAAGCATTGTCCACACTTTTTTATTGCAGGCCCTTCGACTGTTTCACACATAGGAGGTCCTAATAAAGCAGTAGTAACAACCTATGCAAATCAACATTAAGTTGAAATGTTTTCTTGTTAGCAGTAAATCATCTCAAACTGCTGCAGCACTTGTAACCACACCAAAAATTAGCCTGCAGACCAATCTTTAGCCCAGCAACTTAAGGTCAACTAAAATTAGTAATTTAGCTATTCAGAAATGCAGTCACCTTAAGTAGCACTTACTTACCTAAGAAGCACTATTACGGGTATGCCGTATGTGTATTGGATACAATATAGCATGACATGGCGGTATAATCAATTTCAAAATTTTCGGATAAAAGTACAAATATATATATATATATATATATGTATTCAAAATTTTAGGATATAAGTATGAATATCTTCAGTTTCAAACAAGAATTTCTCAAGTAATATAAAAATATTTATAACAATAACAAATATATTGTTTTTTAAGCTTTTAAGTAATATATAAATATTTTGTTGAGAAAATTCATAATTCAAATGTCAGAATATATGATAAGTATCATGAAGTACAGTATGTGTATCATATCAAATATTTATCAGATAAAGGTACATTTACTTTCTTGAAGTATTGGTGCTTTATAAACCCAAACAAAAAAACCAAAAAGAAAAGAAGCCCCTTTCTAGAAGTAGTATTCTAATCAGAATCCAGCATAAACTATACTGTTGACCATTTAAGGCAAAAACCCTAATGATTATATAATAAACAATGGTATTTAAGACTCTGCTATGACCAGCCTATTTTGACGAATAAAGTTTCAAGTTTTCATTCACTATACTACTGCTATGCCAAGTCTAAAAGGTTACGCCAGCATATGATAACATAAACATCATACAACAGACGCAAAAACACATACACATTGGTGTGAATGAGAAACAAGAAATCAACCCAGGAAATTATACTATAAATTTGCACCTTGAGGATGGCTGATACAAACCACCAGAAGATGAGCAGCTATATTTCACCCTGTCACCTGCATGATTATATATATATATATATATAATGAAGAACGCAAAAGTAATAAAACCAAGGCTTCATAATGATGGTTGAAAAATGGAATATATATACCTATTTTAAACAAACAATTTTTAGTTGTCCCAGAAGTGGAAGGCGCAGTATCGGTCTCAGTTTTAGGTTGAGATTCAAGGCCATAAGAAGTAGGTGCATTTGGAGGGCTAGGCGTATCTGTTTCACTAGTTGATGGGTCCACATTCCTAGCCAAGTCGGTGGCTGTAGAACTTTGCTTGGTGCAGTTGCAGGTTTTTTCAACAATAAGCCCATCTTTGAGTAGCTCTGCTTCTTTGGATGATAAACCCTATTTTCGTTCGTAAATCCTACCGATTAGTAATTTAATAACTCTTTCAAGAAAAAGAATTTTTAAAAAAAAATATATTGACAGAAACTGAAGATTCATCATCACAATTTCAATGACACAACAGGAATACAAATACAGTATGCATGGCTTAGTCCCTATATCAGACCAAGAAGGAAACTTCATCTTACACCCAAAAGCAAATGGCTATCAAATATGAGCAACTTAGCCCCAAAGTAATTAGCAAGTGCTTTTGCCAGCATCTCCTGATAAATTTCTGACCCTGCAAACGATAAAAATTCACAATTTCCCTCATTATTGGAACCATTAGTCACAATGACAGAAACTTGTGACAAAAAGAGAAAAAGGGGGTGACCGGTGAAGAGGAACAGTTCAATAGCCAAATACCTGCAGGTCCAGAAAGTAAAATACGAGGGTTAATAGTTGTAAGATCTGTTGTGTATTTTGCATGTTCCTTATGCTTCAGGTGAATAAAGCAAGCTGCAACCAAGACATTTTTTGTGTTCTCACTGCAAAAAAAATAATAATAATAATAAAGACAATTAAAAGTGAAGCTGTAAAGCAATAATATGAAGTCAATCAAGTCAAACTCATGAAGAAAAATCTTCACTATGTTTCAAAAATAAACAGAAAAAAGTTCAGACACCTCAATACATATTTCAAAATGACTGCCATGTTTTATTTATACAATTGTATGATCTCTAAAAAAATATCACAAATATTATAGAACAACAACAACAAGCCTTATCCCACTAGATAGGGTTGGCCACATAAATTATATGACACAAATATTATAGAACAAAAAAAAAATTATACCTTAAATAATATGGGAAGTTGTCAAATGACACTTCTATGTCTTTTCCATCCAATATTGCAGCATGAACATCTTCTTTGAACACCGCACAGCGCACAGACATACCCGAGGTTGATGCTGCCAGCATATCCCTCGTCCCATTTCTTTCTTCCAATACCTGTTTAAAGATACTTTTGCTCAAATTCAGTTTACAACTAGATCGAGCTAAGATCCTGAGGAAAGGCCTTAGGAAATCAGTCATCCCAGAAAGTTTTACATTGCCTGCCTCCGTGCTTGCATCTGGATCGCATTCCATTGGATGATTCTTGTCACTTGCTCCAACATCAGCTGCTTTGTCACTCTCTACGTTTGGAGCTGAGTTGCCTTCCGGACCATCAAGCTCAATTTCTGTATTATCATGATGAGCAGAATGAGCAGAGACATCAGTACCCTGCTGGGCTTTATTATTATTCTGAGACGGAGATTTCCATCTTGAGAGATCTTGTCTAAAGCTAGAAAGAGAAGCCAAAATGGAAGCCCCAGCCACAGCTGAGGGGTCTCCAGTTCTCCTTTCAAGCTGCAGAAATTTCCCTACACCACCCTGAATTTCTGCACCCTTAACTGCAACATCAGTATTTAGCTGCTGAAAAATCTAAGCCCAGATAATTCAAGGAAACACTCATGCAGGTATACTAAATCAACTAACACGCAGGAAATAATGGGGGAGTAGAACAACAGACTCTATTGATCTAAAGGTGAAAATGGAGACAAAAGAATAGCAAAATGCTCAAAGGATACATAAGAATGATTTCCCAGCAAACCAAAGACCACTTCATCACCCGAGTTAAGCACACAGTTGCCGTTCTTCTTGACAATTGTCCCATTAACTAGCACAGATCCTTTGCTACCAGTACTCTCCAGCAAGGCTACAGCACATCCCTCACGCTGAATAGTTTCAGAAACAGAAAATCAAAACAAATTCACATCCTAACGTATTTGCACCAAATTAGTGGTCCAAGAATCCATCGAGGAAAGGTTGTTTAGTTTAAGAATGCACCTGGGTATGCTTAATCTTGCATAGATTTCCACTTATAGTCTGATCCTTCAATGGAAAGTTGCAATTTCTACTGGAACCAATTGTGAAGTTGGGTGTGCAAATGGAAACATTTGGGTTCTGCAGCATATACATATTCGAATTTTCTTAAAAAAATTAACTGATTAAGCCCCCATGCTACATGAGTGAACAATCAAACGTTTTAACTACCACAATCATTTGGCACGGTGGAACGAAAGTGCGGCCAACTAAACAAATGAGTGCCTAATTATATTTCCCTTTTCCATTCACTTCACTTCAATGAATATTAATTACCAGGGCAGACTGCGACAGAAGCTTGCACCAAGGTGCGGAGGTCTCAGAACTTGGACTTTGCTTCTGATATATATTCCACGAAGACAAGGAACCCCTGGGCTTATCAACAACCAAAGTCGGCGAAGACCCTTAAAGTAAAAGGAATTAAGCGTTGAAATAAAAATATATTAGACTTATAGCCAAAGTCAAGTTAGTGATACGTTGATAGCAAATTAGAATTTCAAACAGCTAAAAATGTACCATCACCGATCGGCAGCGCCACAGCGACACCCGCCGCAGCATCACCCTTGCCAGAAGTAAGGCCATCACCAGTGCCATCTCCAGCGATCTGAGCATCGCATTCTCCAGGATCAACCGCCGGCTCAGGAGTACTTACTTCTTTAGAATTCTCCGCTGCCGGCTTCGGTTTCTCCGACGGACCGCCATTTTCAGCCTAAAAATCCAACAAAACCATAAACCCAAATCTCAAAAAGCCGTCAAAACAGAAAAGGAAAAGGAAATCTTTGACGCTTCAACATTCGAAAACGTTGGAAACAAACTGAAAAGTGAAGCATTTCTATCCCAATTGATTATATGAAACCTTTTGACGCTTCGGTGAGGGAGGGTTATCATCCGAAGAAGAAGATCTTTTGGAATTGTTGCCAGAGAGAGATCCACTACGTCTCGTTGAAACCATGCTTCTCCCTTCTGGTTCTTTTGGTTTCTCCTCTCTATATCGATGAGAGAAGGATGTGGGGGATATCAAATGATTTTAAAGAATTTTATTAAATATATAGATAGATATGTATATAACTCTCTGTTTTTTATTATTATTGTTACTATTATCTCGCTTTTCTTCTGCTGTCTAGTTGGGGCACGATGGTTTGGTTACTCCCGTTGCTCGACCAGCTGATAAAATACACGACACGCGTAAGTTAGAACCCTGGTCTCTGATCATGACAATAGGTAGCGTACAGTGGATCACTCTGGATATTATTATTGTACGCCGGGGTGGGCCGCATAATTGTTTGGAGTTTCGTTAGGTCTCTCCTCTTGTGTTTTTTATGGGGAATGGAAGTGGCTTCTCCCCATATGTCATGATTGGTCCAATGTAATAGGCTTGATGAACTAGAATGGGAATGGAAGAGGAATTTTGTTGTTTGGTTCATGGGAGCCCTCATCCATTATTTTTATTAATAACCATTTTATTAACGCATTAGAAGATCCATTCTTAAAAATAAAATCTTAAGTGACTAAACTATCTTTGTTTATAAATTTATAAATTTGACACCTATTTTTAACTATCGTATATCTAATATCTGCTTCCTCTTCTCCAATCATCATGCCACCCTGCTTCCTCTCTTCTTTGTATTTAATTTAAAATGCACAAACTTAGTGATCGAAGGAGGGGGAAGAGAAGATGAGTTCAACAAAGATAATTTCAAGAGTTTAAACTTTAAATGGTACATGAATTTAAAAATGCTTCCTTTCAATTTCAAATGCCACCAGTGCCTCAATAAAATATGACAGGTGCAAGACGTCACTTAATAAGATGAACATTGTTTGCAAAGGAGGAACTGCAGCCTCTCAAATGGTTCTCATCATTGGCATTAGTGAGGGCTTTGAAAGAGCTATTGTCCTAGAATTAGCCAAATGATGCCACATCGTAATTGGAAGAGCACTTGCCCCAGTGCTTTGTGTTTATTTTGCCTCACATCAGTTTTCAAATTCATTTTAGATCTTTGCTGGTAAACTTTAATGGAATTGATGCAAATTGAAGGAGAGATCATAGGGGAAGCAAGAATTCACACAACAAATTAGTATGAAGAGAAAGATTAATTCAACAGCATCTCAATGAAACTGTGCTCATCATCTCCAATCTTGTATTCATAGTCTTTATGGACGTTGATATGAAAATACAATCAATCTCAAATTGTTGACTTGTATTATTTTAGGGTTAAAATCTATTTTTGTACTTGAATTATTTTTGCACAAGCACACAGTGTCCTAAATTTTTTGTCATAACAATATCACCCTTGAAGTAATTAAATCATGACAATGTTGCCCCTGATGTTAAATGGATAGATATTGACCATTAACTTTACAACTCAAAATTAATATAAAGAACAATATTGCTATGATTTAATTATTTCAAGAACAATATTATTACAATTTAATTATTTCATTAGTTATATTGATACGATTTGAGTTAAATTTATTATTGACTGAGTAAAATTAATAGTCAACATTTGCCTATTTAACGTTAAGAGCAACGTTGCTATGATTTAATTACTTTAATATTAACATTAATGGGGTAGAGTGAAATTGGGAGTGAAGAAGTGGCAACAGAAGTGGAAGTGAAACCTAGAAAATATGATGTTTGGTATGCTGAAACCACCCATTTCTTTAAGAAAGTCACTTCCATAAAAAAATGATGGAACTCAATTCCTTCCCCATACCTATGGAACTGGGTTCCTCTCTCACTTCCTTCCTCGTTTGTCATCTTTGTCCTTTAAGCTTCTCCCCTCACACTAACCAAATGCGGCGGTGCTTCAAGTTCACTGACCGTCTACCGGCAACAGCAACTGTCCTCCACTGGCAATGACAACACCGATCCTCTGCCAGCAATGACGATCACGGCACTCTACCCAGCAACGACTTTCAGATCTCTGTCTTTTCTAGCAAAGCATATCAGGTTGTAGATATGGGTATTTTGTACTCAAATTTCTTTGCCTTGCTCTTATTCTTGAACATATTTGCTCAATAACCATTGTGCACTTCTTATTTCCACTCTCATTAACATTGACTAGAGCAATATCATGATTTTGATTACATCTTCGATTTGGTTCTTGTTATGTCTTTCTCTTTTAACTATTTTTTATAACAGCACAAGAGGCATATGGAACTTTCATGATCTTTGCAACAGGACAAGTGTAATATTCTGCAACTATGGAATACTGTCATCTTCCTCATTTTTTTCTTGGAAGATGGTTATTTTGTTTCTCCATGGCAGTAGCTTCGTATTGGTGTTGAATGGGCTATTTTTATTTTCAAAGGCGTATTAGTATTTTCAAAACATAAAAATAATACCAAATAAATTTTTTATTCTAATTCCATCTGCATACTAGGCATTTTTTTTATATCTCACTTTCGTTTTCACTTTTATCAAAAACAGTTCTCTATATCAAATAAGCCATAAAGAGTATAGGATATTATATGCTCCTGCAAAAATAATTTAAGAACAAAAATGTACCTTAATCATATTATTTTATCATATAAGTGAATGTTGCTATATGAACATGTGGCGTTGCGATGAATAGTCAGGGAAGAAGGGAGCACGTTGAAAGAATTTTTCTGGATAAAGGCAAGGGATATTATGGTCCTTTGATCTTATATTTTAAAAGCTCACTATCTCATTCCACTGTATCAAGAGAGGTTTTAGTGAAGAGAATATTACAAGTTTTGGCATTAAAATTATATTTAATAATTTGGACTTGATAGAATTTAAAATACAAATTAATTTGTATTATTAAAATTTAATCTGATTTAGATTCACAGTGAGGCCAAATAGGTCATTCTCCTCTGTCGACACCCCTTCTCTCGTTCGTTGCGTGGAATTGTGTCATCCGGCAGTGGTGTGCCCGGTTGCTTTGATGCTGTTTGGCACAGTTAAAAATTTTCACGAGTTATGTTAACTAATAATTAAATGTTAAAATAAAACAGGAGTAATTAGTAATATTTATCAATAATAATATTGATATTCATTATAATTATAATATTTTTCATAACAAATGTAGGCTTCCGTTATTATCCATCCCCTTGTGCGAAACAATGATTACTGGTTACTAGTGAGAGAAAACCAAAATGTAAAGAAAATAATTTAAAAAAAAAAATCCACGTTTGGGATCGGGGTAACCACTCACGTGATTTCTGTTCAATGAGTTGGCGCATTTGGCTGCTTGGTTTCATTTAATATTTATTAAGATATTCGCATCACTCTTCATTGCAATTTCTGTAAATTTAAAGGAGTTAATGCCAGTATCTAATCATCAAATATGTTAACATAACACAAAACATTTATTAAATTAGACAGTTTTCAGTGCGCTGCATAGGTTGAAATTAAAGAATTTGAAACACATATAATCGATGCCATTGACATCAATGCATCTAATATGACTAAATTTTTTAAAATTTTAAAAGTTTTTTATTCAATTATTTTTCTTATTGAATATTTTATTTATATATATTTCGTCTTTATTTCCTGAGCCTTTAGTGAAAAACCTGCCTAAAAAATATATGTTCTTAGAGCGTTCAGAGAATATCAGTAAAAAAATTCTTTAAAATTTTTAATAACCCCTCATTTTCAATTACATAAAATAATTAGACATTAGTTTTATGAATGATGATACAAATTATATTTTCATAAATATGGATATAAGAAAAAATTCAAATAGATCCTTATTTTTTTTAATAGTATTATTTTCTTTTGTTTTTTTTGGTCCCAATTCTTCTTCTTTTTTTTATGTGCAAAACAAAAGAGCTACCAAAAAGATATTTCTACTACTCAAGTTTTGCCTGTTTAAAGTATTTAGGTAGTTGCCGCATTATCTTGTTAGTGCATAATATATGGTGAAACATGCACAATTTAAAGGGCGAAGATTATGAGATAAGGATTGATGATTCAAATCAAACTTAAATTTATTTTTATTTTTTTATAGATGATAGTTGATGAGGGTTAATTGATATTGAGTACAGTGAATTAAAAAAATACATGAAAAATAGAAAAAAAAATTAAATCTTATTAATTAGAAAAATTGAAAAGGCACGGGAAAGTACAACAAAAACAAAATGATGGTCAGATGGAGTTAATGCTAATGAAAAGGAAAATTTAAAAATGAGATTGCTTTTGAATCAATGCTCCCATAAAAGTAGACTGAAAATACGTGAAAAATAGAAAAATAAATTGAATCTCATGCATCAAGAAAATTGAAAAGACATGAAAAAGTATAGTAAATGGAGAAGGACAGCTAGATGGAATTAATGCTAACAATAAAAAAAATTAAAAATAAGAATGCTCTTGAATCAATGCTCCCGTGAAAAGTACACTGAAAATACATGAAAAATAGAAAAATAAATTGAATTTCATTGATCAAGAAAATTTAAAAAGCATGAGAAAGTATAGCGAATGGAGAAGGATGGCCAGATGAAATTAATGCTAACGATCAGAAAAATTTAAAAATGGGACTGCTTTTGAATTAATGCTTCTATGAAAGTAGACTGAAAATACATGAAAAATAGAAAAATAAATTAAATATTATTAATGAATCAAGATAAATTTTCATATTAACATTAACTTAAAATCTTTCAACTAATGAGAGTCAATTTTTTTTTACCACTTAGATTGAAATCTATTAACCAAATGAGAGTCAATTTTTTTTACTAATCAAATTGAAACTACAAAATTTGCATATATATTGATAAAAAATATTACAGTGTTCACAATTCCAATCATTTGTCCTTGTGATTTTTACTTAATTAAAACTTAATCTTTTAACTTTAATTCGGTGCCATTCAATACCCATAGTTTAGACCTGATTAAAACTCAGTTTCTGAATTTTAACTTAGTATAATTCAATCATATAATTTTAACCAATTAGAAAATTGGTTTCTATATTTCAAAAAATAAAATAGAAGAATTTCAATTTCAGACCAGGGATATCACATTATTTCAAATTAGATCCAATGAATTCTAAAATTTCA